ATTATGTATAAAAGTAAATTCAAAGTAATTATAATAATACTAGGTAGTTAAAATATAAATTAAGAAAAAAGTATTAAACAGTTAATATTTGAAATGTTATAAAATAATTTTAACTATAGTTTTATATCATGATATTTTATTTTAAACGTTTTTTGAAGATAAGTTTTTGAAATTTTAAAAAGTATTTTTAATAATTAGATAATAAATTAACTTAAAGACTTTACTTTTAGATATGATAATAATTCTAAACAAACCTAGTAATTTATGATAATTATTCAAAAGAATGTTGTTATTTAAACCAGTTACTGTAAAATACTGCTTTAAACTTTATCATATATATTTAGAGATACATCAATAGAAAATAAACAATTATGATAATCTAAAAAATAGAAATAAAAACTTTGTATTTTATTAATTTCGGTTTATTTATAATACTTTGAATTCTTAAAAACACAAACATGCTTCAAGAGTTTATGCGACTAAAGATAAACACATTTTCTATTAAAATAAAATTGTTTTTAAATTTTATTATTTATTATTTTAACTTTTTAAAAAATTTATATCCTTTTATTTTATTCAATTTTTTATATTATAAAAGAATAAATGTTGAAATTAATTATATTTTAGAGTTTAAATCAAGTTTATGTGATTTTTGTAAATTAGCTTTTTTTTAAAAAAGATACTACAAATATATATATTAACAATAACTAATTTTTTAAAAAGTGGTGTACTACAATTAAAAGAATTTAATTTTACATACAAAGAAATAATTTTTAACTAACCACACATATTCTTATTGTCATTAAATATGTTTAATCAAAAGTGAAATGATATAAATTTGAAAAACATTGATATTGCCAGATCATAAACCTTCATAAAAAAACAGTGAAATGTTAGAAAAATTTTTATAGAAAACTGAAAGTTGTTTTGTTAGTATTAACAGATATTTTAAAATTTATAAATATATTTACCAGTAAGAGAAATATATTAAAACATTTAATTTACATTATTATTACCCAATAAAAACATCTAATAAATCTTAATTATTTTTAAAAACAGAATTGGTATTAAGTTTGACAGAAAAGTTCTTTTAGAGATGTGTATAAAACTCACATAATTTATACAAGAAAATTTTTTTGTTTATAACGATTTTAAAAGATTAAGAAACTTGATAAATGATAAAGATAGTAAACCAATCAATAAAATAATTAAAATAAGATAAATTAGAAATTTTGTTTAGAAATGTATCTTATATTGTATATCAAAAAAATTATCTAAAGAGTATAGAAGAAATTTTTATCTTGAATTTATTTGAAATCTCTACTAAAAAATTTACAGTTTAGAATTTAACAATTTAAGATTTTAAGACAAAGATCTAAAATAAATAGAAGTAAATTTTAACAGAATAACTTAGTTTAACGACACCATGCTTAAAGAGTAAGCTGTTAATTTTACAATTTTTATTTGAAAAAGAATCAAGGTTTGAATAAATCAAGAGTTAAAAAAAATATATTTCAATAATAGGTATGTCTAAAATTTTTTTTCGATAGTTTCTATTAATATTAATTGTTGAATATAAAAATTTATAAAAATATTTTTTCATTATAGAAGAGTTTTGATAATTATATTTATATTTTTAGATTTAACAAATATGTAAGTCTATTTAAATAAAATATTTAATAAGAATATCTAGTGGTAAATAAAGCATCGATAAAAAATATTTTAATTATTTTTAAACTTATAAAAAACACAATATTTTGTATTTATATTAAAAAATTTTATTTAATAAATTCAAACATAGAAATTTTAAGACCTTCTTAACTATTAAAAATTTCATCATTTAATTTATACAGAAAAATATCTTTTAAATAAAAAATAATGTTTTTTTTGTTAATCTCATAAAAATTTAAGATAATACAGGATAATATAAACAATGAGTTCTATTCTATATTTTAAAAATATCAAGAGTTTTATACAATAATTAAATTATTTATAAATAAAAGATATTTTTAAATATGTTTTAACTAAAAATTATTAATATATTACTAAAATAACAATTAA